TCGTGCGTGCTTGAGCGAGCGTCTCTTCTTCATTCTCCTCCGGTCGTGGAGTGCTGATCACATACGCCACGTGCAACGTAGTAAGAAGAAATTTTATCTTCTTTTGCCACCGCCGGAAAGCCACGCCCTCGAATTTTTCGAGTTTGTGAAAATCAAGAGTTAGATCTCTCACCGAAGAACCCATACCCGTCATTCGATTTCCCTTTCCCCGTGTATCCGAAATAAGAAATAACGTTTTAGATTGTTAGATTAATGTGGGTCTGGATACAACAAGAAAGAACAATAAAAACAATGAAATCGAAATAAAAACGAAAGAACCGGATATGATCTTCTAGGCGTGTAGAACACTTTCCTAAAACGTTATTCCCTCCCCACCGAGCAAAGGAGAAACCCGAGAATACGTTTAGAGATACAAAGAAGATCAGCAACGATTGATCTGCTCCTCAAACGTTGCCCGAAACAGAAAAACTCGAGAAAGAAGATGAACAGTAAAAGATGGAGAAGAAGTAGCAAGTTTCTTCACCAACAAGGCTCACAAATCTCTCAAAAATCAATTAGATTTCATACTTCTGTGTTCAGACGTCTAGGAATATTTTTAACACTCCAAAAGTCAAAAGGTGCAAGGATAGGGAAGTTTTTTTCCGAACAGACACGATTTTTCGTTCATTTGAACAACTCAGAAAAATCAGGCGGGTCGCTCATTTTTCGAGCGGTCGCTCATTTTCCAGTTTTGTTCATCAGAGAAAATGAGCTACCCGCTCATTTTCCTGACCGGTCGCTCATTTTCGGTCGCTCATTTTCCGAGCGGTCGCTCATTTTCCCAGCGGTCGCTCATTTTCTCAGTTTTGTTCATCAGAGAAAATGAGCTACCCGCTCATTTTCCGAGCGGTCGCTCATTTTTTGAGCGGTCGCTCATTTTTTCCAGTTTTGTTTTATCGGAAAAAACGAGCCAAACGAGCCACCTTCAATATCTTCCGACTAATCCTTAACACTTAATCAATTCACGACACGTCTTTTACAAGCATTTTACTCCTCCACTACACTTGTAATACACGTGAAACAAGAATCCTTTGAGAGATTTTAAATTCCACCAATCTACTCTAAAATAACTAACAAAGTCTCCGACAGAACTCTCAAACCAAACACCACTCAATATCCCGAGAGATATCTATACGTGTGTTGCCATTAATAGACCTCAATGTGTTTTAGGAATCGTAAGTAAATTCAGTCTTATACCTTGTGATTTTGTTGAGGGAGAATCTAATTGAATAAAAAAATATAATTCTCAAACCGTGCTGTTATTTATTGAGTCGCTCTTGCATTTGGAAATTGGAACACTAAAAGTATCGTTATAATTAAAATGACGTTTTGGATATTACTCGGACCAAAGATTTGCCTGTGAGTGCATGTGGGAATGGGAACGAGAATGCTTTGTGTGAGAGAGAGATATTGAATTAAGCTCTTTTTTTCTTCTTGGATGGCCATTTTTGTGTGTTCTCATAAGAAAACATATCATACACCGGTACACAAGCTATTTCCGTATCTTTAGAGATGTAATTGTATCGAAAGTTCGATAATCTTTCAAGTTAAAAAAACATATCATATTCAGTCTTATGATATTTGCGATGCTATCCGGTCACGGATTCGGATTTGGATTTTTTTTTCAAACCACGGGTTATCTGCAGATACCGAATATGAGCAATTTATTTCCCTAATACTTTATGAAGAGAATTCCAAATCCATTTTTGTAAAACTGGTTAAAAATTGGAGGCAAGGGGAGAATGCAGGAAAATGCAATTACAAAATTACAAGCTTTGTTGAAAATTAAACGATTCGTGGAACCCACTGGATTGAAATTGTTTCACAATTTTCTCCTATAAGCTTGGACAAAATATCCGAAAAAACGGAACCGATCCGTTATTCGATTCATATCCGAATCAAAAATTCGGATATCCGAAATTTACGGATCGGGTACGGATATTTATTTTGAGATATTTGTCGGATACAGATCGGATACGGATATCAAAATCGAATTATGAATTGCTAATGAAATCCCAGGAATCTCAACAACCGTTTCTCTATGAGATCGAGATTTTCAAATTCAATCTGGATCATTCACTAAGGAGTTGTGCTTAATGAAAATGGGACAAATTTATTTCCCAACCCAGATTCGAGTTTCAACTTGAAGCGATACATTCGCTTGGACTTCTGTAGTCTTCTATAGTCTTTTGGAAGATATAGTTGAGATAAAGATTTGGTGAATTTACGGATTATAAAAAAAACTTTCAAATACTAAAAACATTTGGGATGCTTGAGTAAAAGTAAGAACGTAAAACAAATCTTTTTGAAATTTTGATATGATTTTTTTGTACACGATATTATGGTAATATTAATTTATTTGTGGCAAAGTTTCGTAACGTTTGATAGGCGAAATTATTTTTTCCAAATTTTACCGAATATCGTTGATATTTTCGAAAAATTATATACGAATTAGATTTTATGCGAAATTTCTTGGCTAACATCTCTCTTCCATATTTAAAATCGAGAGTTTGGGAATTATAGAAGATGCTACGTATGTATGTGTGTGTATGTATGTATGTATGTATGTATGTATAAGTGGTAAGTGGCCACGATGAGACAGAGATACTTTGAATATTTGTCTTTATTTGCGCAAGTTGTGCTCTCTTCCCGGGATCCTCAATCTCAATGTGACATATATATAATTCAGTCCATCAATTTGGGAATTAACACAATCCTCACCCACTTAATAGATGCCTCGTCGATGCAAGTCATCCATATAAATAATTTATGATAATATCTTAGTTAAAACTATATAATATGGCAATAATTAAGGGGGCTAGTAAATTTTTTTTATATAAATAAGGGGGCCAGTAAATTATTTTGTAGATGATAGACTATACTATAAATACCTCAATGAACGGTCCATATCATATCATGATGCTTTATGGACTCAATAATTCCATCATTTCAACTGAGTCCTCACGTATGTCACATCATATCATATGATATTTTCCTCATCACATGTTGTTTAATAGTCGTGGTTTTCATCTAAAAATGAGTTTTTTATACTGCTTGGAATTCTCCTTTTTCTTTTTTCTATTTTGATAAAAAAAAATGCTTTTGTTTATTAAATGCTTCATTTTTTTAGACCAAAAAAAAATATCTTTTTTAATAGCAAAGTGTAGTTGTGAATTAGTATAATTAGTCTGATCATTTTGGTTATTAACCGAATAGTCGAATCTAATCGAAAAAAACTGATAATATTTTAAAAAAAATGAGTTTTTGACAATAAAAAAACTGAATCCGAATCGAATCGAACTGAAAAATAATCGAAACAAAATTTATATACAAACCGAATAATTATAATTTTGTATAACCGAAATAATCCAATCCGAACCAAAATTCTAAATGGTCTTCCCTAAGTATAATATCACTAAGTACAATATGGGACAAAAAAATGGATGTAATGTGATACGAGCTCAAGGACAAATTCCAATAACGAGCACGATGATGAGCTTTACGTTCCGATTGAGCCGATCTCGGGAGCACGAGCCAAGAATTTCGGGAAAACATTGCAGAATTTATGGGCGATCAGTCAAAGCAAAGAGCGTATTTCGAGAGTCAACATACGAGAGTCGAGGATGATGTTGGTGATTACAAAAGATTGACTTCATTTACAAGCCTCGAAATCACGCGTCTCGTTACTTGAAGTCAACTTAACTACCATGGGTGATTTCAAGGAAGACACTTTTATTGTTTTCTTATTTCCTAAGTTTTCTTTTACCTATATAAACCTATTGTTATGCTTGGTTTAGGGACACATTTTGAGATTAAGAAACTTGTGAGATTATTCTCCAACTTGTTCGTTTTGAACTTTGCTTTAAGAATTGCAAATCTTTGCTTGTAGTTCTTAAACTTTTATAATATTGGTTCCTATCTCTTTATAAATAGTGGGTCAATATTCATTTACTTTATAATATTGGTTTCTATCTCTCTTTATAGATAGCGAGTCAATATTTCACTTTTTCTATAATATCGGTTTCTATCTCTTTATAGATAGTGGGTCGATATTTCATTCATCACCAAAACCTTTATCTTGGTCGATCTTACTTTATTTCATATATTGTTGTCGGGTTTTGTGACTAGTTCCGCGAGGTTCACATCATTTGGTATCAGAGCACAGGTTCCAGATCGAGGTTCTATCTATCTTTATACTTCTACTTATTTTTTTTTCCTAAATTCAAATCATCTATTTGTAAAAAAAAAAAAGTTCCTGCAATTTAAAAAAAAAAGCAAAAAAACAAAGCAAGCAAAAAAACAAAAAAAAAAAGAATAGAAAAAAAAAAGCTTAAAAAAATTGAAAAGGAACCAGTTTTATTTCAAAAAAAAACTCGACATTTCAAAAATTTTGTTATTCCTTGTTTAGTTTTATTCCTCTCACGAAGGTTTTACTCACACAATCATCACCTTTTTTTTTCTTTATTCTTCGTTTCTTCATACGTTTATATCGTATCTATACTCGTCGTTTCTTCTTTCTGTTTCCATGACATCCACATTCATCATTTCGTAAACTCTTTGTTATTTTCCTTTCTCTTTCTTGTCACTATTGATCCAAACTTTTATTATAATTGTTTGGAAACTTCCAAGTATTGCCTTTTGCAATTTCTTTTTGTTTAGTTCTTCACGAACTTTGAGGAGAATTTTACGAGAGGAAAAAGGCAAGAGTGATGAGAATATCAGAGGGTAAAAGCCAATATTGAGTGAAACACGAGTGTTGAGTGTTAATTGATCGAGGAAAAACACGTGAGGGAGTGAGTGAGGTCTTTTGCATGATGTCTCAAGAAGATAATGCAGGTGGCAATCGAAACGATAGAGGAGCAGTTGACAACGAAATCATTCAAGCGATGCAGCAAAATTTCGAACGACTAAATGTGGTACTCAATGAATTTTGAGATCGACTCGAAATAAATGAAGATCGAATGGATCGACTCCATCAAGTTCGTGATCTGCGACCGAGGAGAAACAATCAACGACAACGTGCACCTTTGCTAGACCCTGCAGCGGAATATTATGAGGAGTCTCATGATAATGATGGAGATGCGGTTTCCTTGGTCACTATACCGAGAAATCGTGGAGGAAGGGATGAGGTGCCACGACAAGTCCGAAGAGAACATCGTGAAAGGAACGGTGTAGATCGAAATTTGGGGTCCATCAAACTATCTATCCCGCCTTTCCAAGGTAAAAATGACCCTGATGTTTACATTGAGTGGGAAAGAAGGGTGGAGTTAGTCTTCGATTGTCATAACTATTCTGAAGAGAATAAGGTAAAACTTGCTGCTGTAGCATTTACAAATTATGCTATTGTTTGGTGGGATCAACTAACCTTGTGTAGACGTCGAAATCGGGAGCAACCAGTTGGAAGTTGGGAGGAAATGAAAGCTGTCATGAGAAGAAGGTTTGTGCCTTCTCATTATTATCGGGATTTACACTTGCGGTTGCAAAGTCTTAAACAGGGAAATAAGACAGTTGAGGAGTATCATAAAGAGATGGAGATCGCTATGATCCGTGCTAACATCGAAGAGGACCGAGAGGCAACCATGGCTCGATTCGTTAATGGCCTTAATCGAGAGATTAGCAATGTGGTGGAGTTACACCATTACGTAGAGCTCGAGGAAGTGGTGCATATGGCAATGAAAATAGAAAGACAACTCAAAAGGGGTCGGACATCTTCACGATTTGAAGGGACTAGCTCGAGTTCGAGGTGGAATACTAAACTCGAGGGGAATAGTTTAAGATGGAACTCAGGGTCAAAGCACGATGAGAAATCACCTTTTAAAGCAAGAGGAGACAAAGTCGCTGCCAAATCATCGTTTGACTCGACAGAGAAGGAGAATGGGGATATTGAAACTGATGCAGAAGAAGACAACGACTCCATGCCATCACTTGAAGATGTTGATGAGGTAGAACATGCTGTCACGGTGCAAGCCCTTATTGTTTTGAGAGCTTTACATGTGCAAGCTAAGGAGGATGGGGATGAACTACAAAGGGAGAATATCTTTTATACTCGATGTCATGTGAAAGATCGGGTATGTGGATTGATTATAGATGGAGGAAGTTGTGTGAATGTGGCTAGTTCTTTGATGGTCGAAATGCTTGGTTTGCGCACCAAAAAGCATATGAAGCCATACCGACTTCAGTGGTTGAATGAAAGTGGTGACTTGAAAGTAACCAGACAGGTATTAGTCTCATTTTCTATTGGGCGATACTCTGATGAAGTTATGTGTGATGTCGTGCCTATGCATGCTAGTCATTTGTGGTTGGGAAGGCCATGGCAATTTGATCGAAGGACTACCCATGATGGATACTTAAACCGGTACAGCTTCATCAAGGATGATCGAAATGTGATACTTACACCCCTATCACCCCACCAAGTGTTCCATGAGCAGCTTCAAATTAAGAAGTCGAGGGGGGAGAATTCAAAAAAAAGTGAAAAAAAATGAGGAAAAAAGAGTCAAGAAAAAGAAAAGAATGAGAGAAAAGAGAGTCGAGAAAAAGAAAAGAATGAGAGTTCAGCGAAAGAAAAAAAAGAGGGGAAGAAAAATAATTTTCTTGTGAGAGAGGAGCTCAGTCCAAGGCCAATGATATTGTTCTTATACAAGGAGGTCTATCTTTCTAACTTTAACTCGACTTTGCCTAGTGTTGTGATTTCTCTTTTACAGGAATTTAATGACGTGTTTCCCGAAGAGATGCCACCAGGATTACCACCAATACGAGGGATTGAGCATCAGATTGATTTCATACCAGGAGCACCAATCCCGAATCGACCAGCATATAGGAGCAATCCGAAAGAATTCAATGAGTTGCAAAAGCAAATCGGTGAGTTACTGAACAAAAGTTATATTCGAGAAAGTATGAGTCCATGTGTTGTGCCCATATTGTTAGTACCTAAGAAAGATGGTACTTGGAGACTATGTGTTGATTGTAGGGCTGTGAATAAGATAACGATAAAATATCGTTACCCTATTCCTCGTTTAGATGACATGCTTGATGAATTGCATGGTTCCACAATATTTTCTAAGATTGATTTGAAAAGTGGGTACCATCAAATTCGCATGAAAGAAGGTGACGAATGGAAAACGGCATTTAAAACCAAAGGTGGATTGTATGAATGGTTAGTAATGCCATTTGGTTTATCGAATGCACCTAGCACTTTTATGCGCCTTATGAACCATGTCTTGCGGGCTTTTATTGCAAAATTTGTTGTTGTATACTTTGATGACATTCTGATCTATAGCAGAAGTGAGCATGATCATTTGAGTCACTTAAGATGTGTTCTTGAAGTGCTGAGACAAGAGAAATTATATGCTAACCTTAAGAAGTGCAACTTTTTCTTGGATAGCGTTGTGTTTCTTGGTTTTGTTGTCAGTTCTAAGGGAGTAGAAGTGGAGGGCGAAAAGGTAAAGGCCATCCAAGATTGGCCCACACCTACAACCGTATCGGAGGTTCGTAGTTTTCATGGACTTGCAGGATTTTATCGTCGATTTGTGAGGAATTTTAGTACTATCGCTGCTCCTTTAACTGAGATCATCAAGAAAGATGTGGGATTTAAGTGGGAAAAGGAGCAAGAGAACACATTCAACACTCTGAAAGAAAAGCTAAGTTCTACTCCTTTATTGGTTTTACCGGATTTTTCAAAAACATTTGAAATCGAATGTGATGCTTCTGGAATTGGTATCGGTGCAGTTCTTATGCAGGAGAAAAAGCCTATTGCTTA